AATTAGGCCGTTAGTTTTCTCGTTTGAATCGTTTTACATTTGTCATTTCGGGGCCTTTTATAGCTGACTATGCGGTATGGGCTTTGCTCATTGTTGAAGGCCGTACGGTGACCTATAGTTGTTAATGACTGTGTCATTTAGTCTCTTGTGGAGAGTTGTCTCATTGGCAATCATACCACATCTTCTTTTTATATCATAAGAAAATTAATCAAAATTATTTAAACATTTAAGATTCAGATACCAAAAAGAAAAATAACAAAAATACAGAACTCCAAGGAAAATTCAAAACGGAAAGTCCCTTATCAAATGGCAAAATCAAAAGCTCAAAATGACGATGTAAAAATAATTACATCAAGAAATTATTCAATTTATTGATGACATTCTATATACATTTTTTGAACATTGTAGTACAAGCCATTACATAACTTCCTCAATTAAATTGGGTAGTTGAATTTCTTTTAATTTATAAATCAAAGGTTACATCGATACTACGTCTGTGTTAGTGTTATGTGATGGTAAACATCGATACTACGTCTGTGTTAGTGTTATGCGATGGTAAACATCGATACTGCGTCTGTGTGTTAGTGTTATGCGATGGTAAACATCGATACTACGTCTGTGTGTTAGTGTTATGCGATGGTAAATACTTTTAAATGTATGCTATACATACTTCAGCAAGAGGTTTCTATAAAAGTCTATATGGAAGCACAATAATCTATATTCGCATGATAACAACACGCATGTGACTTTTTAATGTTTCAAAAAATTGCAAACGGGTATCTTTTTCCTAATTAGTTTTCCCTACATTGTACAAGTAATTTGTACTTTCAAACTTTCAGACATTTACTACAAAACAAGTAAGCATAGTAAGATTTTTGTAATGGGCCCAATTAAAAGTTGAACTTTGATATTATTTTTTTCAATTAAAAATGCTGTTTGTTTGTAGTTTTCAATCGGCTTTTCAAATAAGAACAGCTTACCGAAATGTGACGAACAGATTTAATCTTGTCTCGTGTATTTGTTGAAATTTTCTGTAGTCATAAAATTGAAAGTGTTTATTTATTAAGGAACGTTCACTAGGAAATTTCAAATATAACCATTTATGAACAAACAAATAGAATAAAGACAAGAGTTTACTTTATAGTACAACGAAATAAAGCTTTTCTTTCAAATGGTACTGATTTACATCTGAACAGATAACAAGTATTAACACTCTGCAAACATTACCATTAACTTTTGAATAAACCCCACTGAAGTACTACCATAAATAGATTTGACTACATCGTTTATCACCATTTATTCATTCAAATTCTATCATTTCAATCTGAAAGTGAAAATTTAAATACAATTAGAATGTCTCAACACTGACTAAAGGTTTAGAATTGTGTTAAATATATAATGTTGCATACGAAATATATTAAAGTACTTCTAGTTAACAATTCTTAACCTAGTATAATTTCTGCTTTATTTAACTTAAGAATTGACACACTTCTATTTAAAATATTAATGTTATATAGTGAAATATCAACAAATGAATGCATTATATGAAATCACATGTATATAACTAGGGGACCTTTTAAAGTCTCATATTATATTATATTTAACATGTAATTGATTTTAAATATAATAAATACTATGCAAACCATGAAGAACAATGGTTTTGAGAATAACAGATTGAAAGGTTCATGAGAGCAAAGCACTGATTTGATTATGAAAGGAACGGCGCTTTTAATGCTGTCCTTTATTTAAACATTTACAAGATAATCCACAACGAGGGACTATAACGTGTTTGGGCTTGAAAAGTCATTCATACTCTAAATTCTTAAAATTAAGAGGACTTTTGTTCGTTTTCCCAACATAAGAATCAAATTTCCTGGAAGTTCGTTATTTGTAACTCTGAGTTCGTCTTCTAGAACAGTCATTTTTTTTTATTTCAACATCCACAGGAACAAACAAGCAGGCTGTAAATGTAAATGTCGATGCGATAGATTGTAAATGTTTGCCGTTTTTTTTTTAGATTTCACCGGAATGCGAATATAAATTTAATAAAAAAATATTTCAAAATATTTTTTGAGGAATTAGCTCTAAATTGTATTTTTCCTTTACTCCACACTTTCGACAAATGTCCCCCATTGTCCTGACAAAAATACTCAATCTACACCAATTATAATAATTTAAGTTTTTTGAAGTAATAGTTGGTTTTCTTTAAACGTTAACTAGGAATTTTGTGAGAATACTACATATGTGGTGTTCCCTAAAATACTCGTATTAATTGTGTAGCGTGTTCGACTTCTTCTCCCCACGATAACAAGTTTTAGGAGATACAGTGGAAATCACTTCTAACCTCTCATCAAATCTGTCAGGAGAACTGTTCTAGGACTGTATGTAGAACTGTCATCCTGACACCTATTAGACAGTTCTAGCTAGAACAGTTCTAACCTAGAACTGATTTGGTCAGTTCTACTTAGAACTTATTTAGACAGTTCTACCTAGAACTGATCCTTACAGTTCTACCCTAGAACAGTTTTAGACAGTTCTACCTAGAACTGACCAAATCTTTGGTCAGTTCTACGACTAGAACAGTTCTACGGCTAGAACAGTTCTACGACTAGAACAGTTCTACGATTAGAAATGATTTGGTCAGTTCTTCGGCTAGAATTGATTTAGTCAGTTCTATCCATAGAACTGTTTTAAGAACACTTTGTCTTAAATATAAATAAGTCAAAAGAATATAATATATATTAAAAAATTGCAGTGACGTAATTTAGAACTGTTCTACAATCCTGACAGGTTTGGTCAGTTCTACGGCTAGAACAGTTTTAGACAGTTCTGCTGACAGTTCTACGGTTAGAACTGATTTAGTCAGTTCTGCTGACAGTTCTACGGTTAGAACTGATTTGGTCAGTTCTGCTGACAGTTCTACGACTAGAACTGATTTGGACAGTTCTACCTAGAAGAGTTTTAGACAGATCTACCCTAGAACTGCTCCTGACAGTTCTACCTAGAACTGATTCTGACAGTTCTACCTAGAACTGATTCTGACAGTTCTACTCAGAACAGTTCTAGGGTAGAACTGTTCTAGGTAGAACTGTTCTTGGACAGTTTAGAACAGTTCTATGACAGATTATTCTGACAGTTCTAATGAGAGGTTAGAAGTGATCTCCACTGTACCTATTACATTTGTGCTTTAAAGCATCATACAGAATTTAAAAAAAAGTACTATTTCCAATGAAAAAAATACGGGTAAATTATATATACGTATTTTCAGTTGCATGATAAATGTTTGTTTTTTAAGGCAGGATATATTTTCCACTCATACATTACTACCCATTTATTGTTGTGGAAGTCCATGCAGTCTGTTTATTTTGTAATATGTTTTATCGTACTTTATGTCATTTGTCGGTGTTTCTGTGAAACAAACTTATGATAGCAATAACTGTGCACATGTAAAAGGGTACACCCATTACCAACCGGATGTGAAGCCATACATATAAAATGTTTCAGAACATAAAAACGAAATGGCTTTTATAGAACAGCCAAGACCATGTAAGGTCAACTTTGTCTGAAGTATTTTGTTCAGTTTGTTATATCTGTTAATTCTGTTCTATATCTATTTGGTAAAATATTAAGAAACCCTCCACTTATGTTATAAAAAACTTATCAAATTGGTCTTTGATATTTCTCTCTATACATATCAAGACAGTTTCCTATTTATTTCAAATTTGATCGAGGGATTTTTTATTTCTGTTTTGTAGCTGTTTTTCGTTTCATGTGTTTATTTACGATTCGAGCGCAGGTTTTCATACGTCACTCATATGTGTGTACTAACTAGTCTTCCATACATTGTTACAGTACAAGGTATTTGTACTTTCAAACTTTCCTCTGTTGCAGTAAAATTTGGACCGTTAATGTTATGCACGATACTCAAGATGTATTTGTTTTTCTTCTTTTGGATAATGTGAGTTCTTACAATCTTAGATGGAACCTGTGACAAATCCCGGGTTGAACTTAATCTCAATTAAATACTTCCTTTATGAATACATGCAGTACCAAAATATATATTTATCTTAAATTAAGTACTTAGTAGCATTTTAAGCCGTTAAAACACGAACGTTGTTAAATATCAAATAACAACAATATTGTTTTAATCCATACTTACCTTATAAAAGAATGCAATGATCGAATTAAACTGAAAATATTTTGCACTTCAAAGCGGTTTAAACCAATACACTTATTAAAAGGGTCAGACGCATACTAAATTATCTAAAAGGGAAAAGATAGCAAGGGGGCGACCAAACAGCGTTAGTCTACAGAAAACAGAGAACACCGTAGCCAAAAGAAAATTAAAAAAGTAAATAATTTAGATTAATTGTTTGTTGTAAAGGTTTCTGTTAGACAATAAATCAAGAGGCACATTTTAGGTAGAATCTATTGTGTTTGATGCTCGTTCCATGAACACCTATATTAAAAAATCAAGTAAATAATTTGATTTTGTTTTGTTTCCCTGAATTTAATAAATAAAGACCATTTTATATTCTTCATATTTGAATTATTAGTTTTTCATGCCACAGTGTTCTTTGATTAGTGTTACTAAAAGGAGAAGATTTCCTGGATGTGTTTTAAGTTTGTAATTCATTTCTCCACTGACCGAAACTAAATATCATAATGAGACTTTGCGAATTTACATAGAAATCATTGATTGCCTCACTGCCTCTCTATATATTTTTTGTTGGTTTACGGATTTTTTTCATAAAATGTATGTTTCAAATCTTTTATTTCATTGCATCTTACAATATATGTATCTATCTGTTACTTTTCTACACTCGATTTGATGACGAGCATGAAAGGTTTTGAATGTGTGTCCATCGATAAATTAATTATTGTCTTTATTTCGATTTTAATGTCTCGTCAACGCCGACCTACACCTTTCACTCATTTAAAGACAAACATTTTTGTAATATAAGATTTTGTCATTACTCTTTTTTTCTTCAATTTTGCAGATGCCAGTTGTTCATTTCCTAGTGAGATATCAGGCGTATGGTACAGCGCTCACAAAGGGGCGTTAACATTTAACGATACCCATCTTACAGGGTATCCTATATATATGTCTGTTGCAGTGCAGTCTTTAAACTTTTCATGCGAAGAGAGTAGCGGGGATTATTATATGCTGAAGTATGTATAAACACATGTATTAACAAAAAATACCGAACTCCAAGGTAAATTCTAATAGGGGAAGTCCATAAGACATGACATGAACAAACGCTTGACTAAATCAACCAACGGAACGAATGGAAAACAACTGTCATATTCATGACTTGGTACAGACATTTTCCGAAGAAAATGGTAGATTAAACCTGGTTTTATAGCCAGATAAACCTCCTACTTGTATTACAGTTCCGTTATATATACCAATTGTGTTATGTCGAAGCGATAATGTATAAAAATGACAAAACAAGTCAAGACTCAAGAAATTTGGGCTAATTTTGTAATCAAAGTCATATTTAAAACTGTTTTGATTGACTCTTATAATTTTATGAGTGAGACATGTATTATAATAAGTACATATCCGACAACACTGCAGTTTTGTACTTACTGTCAATATACAGGCAAACATTTGTTTTTATCAATTAACATGTACCAGTGTCAGTTAATAAGACAGTAACCCAACGAAACAAAAGCAAAAAGCAACTTAAAAATAAGATATGCAGTTTCCTACAATAAACATGTGTCTTTACAATATATCAAGCCTTAAACAACCATGATTCTTTAAAAAACAGAGCTAGAGATACCAAAAGGACAAAGAAAAAATCGTATAAAATCGAAGAGAAACCGACAACAACATCACATGGAAATAGTAAAAAGATGAAAAGACACACAGTAGTCTACAAAACACCACACAAAACTAAAGACTGAGTGACTCCAACCCCACCAAAAACACGGGTTCATATCAGGTGCTTCGGGAGAGTATGCATATCTTGCTCCTTATTTTGTATCCGTCGTGTTGCTTATGACAAGTAAAAATTCCGTAAAACGTCTCATTCGTTGATGTCACAATGTGGTAAAAAGAACGGGATTGTGCCTTCAACAATCGGAAAATATCCGTGGTCATCTGTGACACAGATATTGCATAACGGTTGACCAAATCATGATGGCGTCTGTAAATTTTCGAAGAAATGACGTAAACTTTACCCTTGGTTCAATAGCTTCCTCATTAGCAGCAACCTTTTATCAAAAGTTATGCTTAAGGATGTACGATCCTCTTGTTTTTGAATTTTTGCCAGATATTCGGAATCCTCTGGTTTTATCCATGAAGTGCCATTAAAAATTTTTGCCCACTAACCCCTACTTTTCTTTTCATTATTTGATTAAATATAGTTTGAAATGTCATCTTTGAAAATCTGATTAAATACTTGTTATTTTTTCATACTTTTCGACAGAAAAAAGGTGCCAATGTTAAATGTATGAAAAATCTAGAGAGAATCATTTCCCGCCAAATTTTCAATGGCTTATATCTCGAAAACAAGCACACGGACCCTTCATTTTGTTCTGCCTTTTTAGTTCCTTTGTTTATATACTATCAATCTATAACTGTCTTTTAAAAAGCTTTTTATTTTAAAACAGAGTAGCGAACATCCTTAAATTCAATATTTACTAACATAGATCTGCCATCAGCACCAAAGACTCCTGATAGCAAAACAATGAATACAATGTAGATGTGACAATCAACCACTCAGACTTGTACATGTATCGGGGTTAAACGAGTTTTTTTCATCTTTTCAAGAAACTAATTTGTACTAAAATTGAAAAAATATGAAAGTAAATCTATCTGATCGGACAAAATGCACATTTTATAATTTGAATAAATACACAATGTTAAAAATTTTACCGTATACACCTTTCTAAAGTGTATTTCGATTCAGTTATGCTTGAAACTAAGCATAGATGGTATGCTTACTAATAAAACAACTATCCACCAAAAACCAAAGGTCGAGGATGTAATCAACTAAAGTGCACGTTACGACCACCAACAATTACCAAAACCCAAACCGTGTTCATTTTCAGAAAGTGTACTGGCTTCGTTCTGTGAAACATTTTTGTATACAAAACGCATACAAGATAACATGTTAAGTATAGTATTAATCTCCATGTCCATTGTTTTTCTCTACTCATAGCTTTATTTAGTAAAGTTTGTCTTTTCATATTTTTTCTGTTGACGCGTGTGAGAATGCTGTACATAATTTTCGCAATTTGGAAATTTATATGTGAAAGTACGAAAATTCCTTGAGCACATAGTATAAATGAATTGTTTTCGTTGTTATCATTACTTTCACTAGTTCTTTGGATGTCAATATATTCCAATTTTCTTATTTATTGTATTTTTTTCTGTCCGCAGAGCAACAGAAACAGCTTTTATATTCAACAATGATATAAGAGCATACTTGTGCCTGTACTTGAAAAGAATATCTGAATATAAATATTATTATCAGTTGGCTACAAGTAAGTAAAACTATATTCTTAGAAACATTACAAGAAGGAGGGAAAAATAAAAGAACAAAATGATTCAGGCACATGTTAATTAGGAGAGTGACAGAACGTGTAACAATTGAGATATTCCACAGGTAATTGATATTGGTGTGATGATAAAAGACATCATTGGAGCAAATACTCAACAATACACACATCCCTTCCAAAAACAAAATAACAACAACAATTTTTTCTCTAAATGACACAATAGGAAAATGAAAAACAAATTTGACTATTGAGGAAAAATTAAAAAAAAAACCAATTACTGATATTTAGAAAGTGTTGCAATTATATTGTCATGAATTCATGTATAAATTTAATTATGAGGCTAATAGTATCTTGTTGTCACTCTATATCTTTCCCGTCTCCTCTTCACATTCAAATAAACTCAAAAGGAGTACGTACTACACGTGATATACACATGCCTAGTACATTGAACGAGTGAAGACATTAACAAAATATCAAAATATTGATTAATAGGCAAATTATTAAAAATCATGTAATACCATTTATCTAGATATTGGTCGTACCCTTGAAAATTATATACCTAAATCCTTTTTGCAGCTGTGGACCCTACAAATAATGATCATATCAAAGGTACTTTAGAGGGTTCAACTGTAGTAATGTCAGATGTCTGTAATAGGGCAACACCTTATGAAGCTAGTACTTATATAGTATTGGTTAAAGATGGTAAGATACATACAAATACTAAACTTCACCCTTTTAAACATATAAAAAAGAAATGATCTTTCATACTAGTCATATGACGCAGCTTAAATGTAATTTTTCGTATTAAATGTAGTAAGGATGTTCGATCCTCTGTTTCAAAATAACAAGCTTTTTAAAAGACTAACGAAACTTAAAAAGCCAAAAAAAAAAAAAAAAAAAAAGAAAGGTCAGTGTTTTTGAGATATAATCAATTGAAAATTTTGCTGGAAATGATTCTCTCTAGATGTTTCATACATTTAACAGTGGCATCTTTTTTTCCTTCAAAAACTGGAAAAGTAACAAGGATTTCATAAGATTTAAAAAAAGGCTTTTTAAACTATTATATGTAATAAAATTATGAAAAGGAAAGTGAGGGTTAGCGGGACAAAAATTTGTATTGGCACTACATGGATATAACTAGAGGATTCCGAATATCTGACAAAAAGTCAAAAACAAGAGTAGCTAACATCCTTAAATATATCAGTGATATAGACACGAAAGATAAAAAATCAAACATCGAACTAAATTATATCGATAGTAGTTTATTGATATTCAAAGTAGTAAATCGATAAGGAAGAGACAAATACAGGTAGCAAACAAAAACTGAGAGAATCGCATGAACTCTTAAAGGAGCGAGACTGGGTGCGTCAGTCAACAGGATAATCGTCTCCTGATATACATGTATCGCTCGCCATGCGAATACACATTCAGTGAAAATGATCAGACGACTGTTTTAGTATCTAAGCATCAACGACAGCGAATGCATGTCGTTAGTGCCATGAGTTGAAACACCGACATGTCGTATCAGTCAACCAATTCGTGATGGTGACCGTAAAACTTATGAAGTGACGATTTAAAAAATGGTTAATCTTTTAAATATATTGTGTAATTATTTTGAATATATATATTTGTTTTCCAAATTTAGGTTCCCCAGCTTCGGGAATGGGTGAAGCCACATGTTCCAACGCACTGTTGGCTAATTACGGTTCTGTATCAATAACTGGTGCTTCCGGGACTTCTTGTACCAGCACAACGTTCGACGGATGTACTGTCAAAACTGGACATACTTATACCTATGACGGAGGATGCTCTACAATTCCATTTTCAAGTAAGTCGAATAATTCGCCGTTTCAGAATCTAATGCATTCTGGGTAACATTTTCAAAAGCGTACATTAAAACGTTGTGATTGTATTAACGCGTTCTAAACAATGGAAATTCAACCAAAGACGTAACGTTATTTTCATTTTGGTGTACGAACAATGAGATTACCCATAGTCCTTTAGATTTTAAAAAGGCGAATTGCTAAATGGAATTCTAACTCATTCCGGACGTCTTATCAAAGACCAAATATAGCAGTTAAAGATGTAAAATCATCATCTTGAGTAAAAATGGTACTATTTGTTGATGGTCATTGGCGTCATACTTGTGATTCCTTTTGATGTTATCTTTTCAACAAAGCGCAGCAATGAATTAATCAGATTATAGCGCGTCTTTTTCATATTTCTACAGTTATTTTTTTCAAAAAAGAAGAAAGGATAGAAGATAAGGGGAAAGCATGACAGTTTTAACCATTTAAACTACTTTTGACACCTAAAATATAATTTTCAAATAAGGCCATGTACATGTAGTGTTTAAAACGTGGCAACTCTTTTCAAATGATTTAATTTCAACACTGAAACGCCATAGATGTGTCTTATGTCTTGAAAAATTTTGCTTAATGGACGTATTGGCAAAATGTAAACGTTTTGCTGTCAACGTTGTTAAAAATAGAATTCTTAGATTTCCGTTGCCAAATATGCAATGCATTTAGGCTTTGATCGTGTTATTTTCATGTCAAAATACATTTTTTTTATTTAAGGTAGTGGGAACTTTGTATGTATGAGATCCGTTACTAGTAATGGTTATTCATATTTATCTGTTTGGAACAACGACACCAGCGTTGCGACTGGAGACTATCAGTTTTCTTGTCTAGTAAGTTCCTATCATATTTAATCATATATAATGTATGATTTAATTTGAGAGAGAGAGAGAGAGAGAGAGAGAGAGAGAGAGAGAGAGAGAGAGAGAGAGAGAGAGAGAGAGTAATATCTTTCTACCAATATATGCAGATAAACAATATCTTGTTTTTTAAGTAAAAGCCTGCACATGCACCTTTTCCATTATAGGTAGTAAGTCAATCATCATCAGGACTAACTGCCTACGCTACAGAAGTACCTAATTATTGTTCCGATACAACACAAACTTCAACAGCTCTTCCGTCTGGTGCAACAGAAGGGAATATCTATGTGTTTTCAAGTCAGACGGGTATGTTTCCTCACAATAAATAAAAACAAATAACTCTCTCCTATGTATTATTTTAAGTTATCAAAAATGAAAGTTAACCGCTTGTCGGAAACGGGTAGTAAGCTAACTATGAAATAAAACTTAAGCAACTGTTAGCAAAGCTCACAAATTCACACCATCCCTTGCTCCCACAATTTGAAAGACAGAAATTTTAAAATCTATGGTGTGCAATGGTAAATTCACACACAAATATATTCGGATCAAAATGTAATATGTGTAAGGAGACAAAAGTGTTATAAGTCATTCACCGGTAGGTACTTTAAATTTTAAGTTCTCTTAAACTCGATAAACCAACCGGAAGTCTGCAAATTCTTCACTGGTCTATATCTAAAAAAACATATGTAAAGAATTATTACCAGTTTCTTCTGTTTAGCGTAGTAATGAGACCGGATTGAAATTCGTGGAAAATGTACACAATGTAACATCAAAACTGGATTTAAAACAAATGTGCGAAGTCGGGCAGGAAAGCCTGAAAGTGCTTAAGAAAACTAAATAGTTTAGTTGATATCAAACTATATATATATATATATATATATATATCTTACCACCTATACATTTCTAGGAACATGATTGATTAAAAACGACCGCGTGGAGACCGTGTATATTTCATATGGGGTTAGTAGTTGTGGTTTATTTCAATACACGGTTAGTAGTGGTGTTACGTCCCTTTGTAAAAACAACACCGTGTTCAGGAAAAATCTGAAAGGTTTCAACAGACGTAGAAATTGATGATGAACGATTGAAATAAAGCAGAAAATACATTAAAAGCTAACAAGTTGTTATTGTTGGCATTTGTTTTTGTATAGAACAATGGAAGTAGGTTCTTTGACTTAATATTGAAGATTTGATCACTTTGATAGGCCACTAGTCTAAATGCCACATGTTAAGATAGCCGGTAAGATAAATTCGTTACACAGTATGCTAGTGACCTAATACGATATATATGGGGCCAGTAAATTCCATATAGGCTCGAGCTACGCTCTCACTCCATATGGAATTTACTGACTCCATATATATCGTATAAGGTCACTAGCACACTATGTCACTAATAATATATATGTATATGATTATATGTCTAAATGTATTTGAGATTGTTAATAAGTCTCGAGCCAAAATGCAAACATTTTCGTCTCAAGTTCACGCTTTTAAATATAAATAAGTTGCTGTAAAACACACATATATGTGGACTTCTGTAGTTAGTAAAGACGCAATGCAAACATCATAAAAATGCAAATATGTCATATCCTAAATACATAAAACAAAACATTTGGTTAACTAATTTTAAAGAGGGGTAATTAGCCTCAATTATATTGATCTATCTTTTCGTTTATCTGATACTGCAAAATTTTTTACTTCAACAAATATACTCTTCGATGAAATTTATCTTCGAGGAATTTAGAATTTCCAATAGAACTTGAAATACATTGAACCTTTATAAACTCAATCTATATCTATTTTTTCAGAATCCTGTGGTAAGTCTAAATATATATCTAGATTCGTGAATTCTCAGATATTTTTTTATATCTGAATCATTCAGATACTGAATAAACGACTTTTGATTTGAAATTTGAATATGCATGTTATCTTGTTTTAAATCTATTAATGACATAATTGATATTATATCAGAATATCCATGGTCACTCGAGTCTTTAAACCTGCACACAAAAAACACACGGTCTTGCCTTTCAAAGATATTTGTATATTTCAGGTATGTTAGAGCTATTTTACTTTTCATATTTGCAAGTTTAAATTATATCTATTCCGTTGTTACTCATTTAGTTGTACATGTGTCATGTTGTCATGTGACATGTTAAAAAACGATGTATATGCTGCGTTAAGAAATCACTAGACTCTATAATAATTATTAGGAAAATAACATGCTTTTTTTAAATATTTGATCGAGCCCGATTTGGTGGTGATACATCTTAAAAAGCCTATCCGAATCATTGTGCAAACAATTCCACTCAAACCGGTGATAGGGGCAATCTTAAACTTTCAGTGAGGTGAGATTTTTTTTTGCTCCGTGTTGAAGGCCTCAGTAGCACTTTTGAGATGAAGAACAGCAATATAAGCGCTGTTCCTTGCTTTTTTGTGTCTTTTTTGCAGTGCATGTACTGATTGTGTGTCATGGATGGATACCCCATATCCTTTGTTTTTCTATTTTATTTTAAAAATGAATATAGTTATATATCTTAATATTCTTTAATAATCTCATTTCAGCAACTTCTGTTGAGGGGCAGTCAAATGCAGTGTTTTATGCTACCATTTTTTTTGGATCTCTAACATTAATTGCCGTCACGGTGTTTATAGTTGTTCTGTTGAAAACAAAAGGATGTCCAAAATGCTGTTGTCCACCCTGTTCCTGTTGTCGCTCCTGTCCGTCATGCCCATCATGTACCTGTTTCCGATGTAAATCTTGTAAAAGAAACAAAGTTGGAGATAGTGGTGAGCACGATCCGGAATCTGGCGAATTCCCACAGGAAGACGGTAGACCAGATGACGTAGCGAATACTATATTCAGATTGCCACCATTTGATGCTTTCAAACCGAAAAGACCCATACCAATTGGCCCAGTTGTGGAGGCAAGTATTATGCCGTTGCCTAAGGTTGAGCCACTGTATGCTAGATATACAGACAATAGAATAAAACGAACTGCTTCAATGAGGTCCATTGGGAGTATTTTTAGTTTTAAAATGAAGTTTTGATAAAAGGAAACATATTTGGTGCGCTTTAAGGAACCAGTTTTATTTGCATTTTGTATTCTGTTATTATATATATTGCTTTAATCTCAACTTAAGCCTAACTGTATATTCATTGTGTTATTCGACAATGGCATTTGTTTACAATGTGTAAGGATGCTTGCTTATTACTCTATGCATTTATTGGGTAACTCATTAGTGTGCAACAAAATATTGCATAGTATGAGTTTTGGATGGAGCCTATCAGTTCGTTGAGTGACGTAGTTAAAAAGTGATAACTTATGAAAGGATATGAATTGGCGTTCCTTTCTAAATAATTGAACTGAATTCACCTTGCAAGATATTCTTTTACCGTTGAACGTATATTCATATGTTCTTTCTTTGACCTTTTAAATAGAAAAGGAATATATTCGAAAAATAAATGATTTCAGGTTGTAATGGTTAATTACTTTTAGTTGATTGTTATTTGTTATACATTTGAGTTGTACATTGTTGTATTATTATTTTGATTATTAAATATTATTTCTGATTTGTTCTTTTAATAATAAAAATTGAAATACAAACGTTTAAACCCGCTGCATGTGTATGCACCTGTCCTAAGTCAGGAGCCTGTTTTTCAGTAGTTGTCGTTTGTTGATGTGGTTCATTAGTGTTTCTCGTTTCTCGTTTTTATATAGATTAGACCGTTGGTTTTCCTGTTTGAATTGTTTTACACTAGTCATTTTGGGGCCCTTTATAGCTTGCTGTTCGGTGTGGGCCAAGGCTCCGTGTTGAAGGCCGTACTTTGACCTATAATTGTTTACTTTTTACACATTGTGACTTGGATGGAGAGTTGTCTCATTGGCAATCGTACCATATCTTATTATTTATATACACGTTTAATATAAACTTAACATTATCAATGATGTATGTAAATGAAGTGGATGTCAGTGTAGTCGCACTGTATAGGGCATAAATAACTAGTTGATTATATTGGGTTCTGGATAGTTTTATTAATGAAGTATCAAACGAAACCCTGTAATATAATATCACATTTAATAACAATATAATTGAGCTGCGTCGGATAGAAAACGACCTTATGCAAGTGCACATATACATGTACATGTAAAATGCTTTAATGGATTTTAGAACATTCAAATACGAAAGGAAAGATGAATTTTGTTCTGTTTTGTAGGGTTCTTATAACAACCCAATTTTCAAACAGTTACAGGCTTTACATAGAAATTTTCTTCAACCCGAAACAGGATAACAAATGTATTTATATTCATTTGCGTAAGGTCGATTTCTATCCGACGCAACTCATATATCAACGAATTATTTCAAAACATGTATAATATCAATCTGATAAATTTAAGTAATGTGTGCACTTACAAAAAAAATAACCAATTAACTGAAAAATACGTCACCGTATAGGAAACGGAATAAAATGCACAATTAAACCTTATCTAATGAAATTATTACTTTCTGTGACGTTTGAAACAGAATTTAATTTGTCAAACGAGCAAAAAATAGGAATACGTTTTTTTTTATTTAGCAATAACATTATAAATGAGGGGCGAAAGATACCAAAGGGATATTCAAACTCATAAGTCGAAAATAAACTGACAACGCCATGGCTAAAATAGAAAAAGACAAACAGACAAACAATAGTACACAAAACACAACATAGAAAACTAAAGACTGAGCAACACGAACCCCACCACAAACTGGGGGTGATCTCGGGTGCTCCGGAAGGGTAAGCAGATCCTGCTCCACATGTGACACCCGTCGTGTTGCTCATGTTAGTACAAACCCGGTAATAAGTTTTATTCGGTAGGTCACATTCGGGAAAAGGGGACGGGATTGTAGTTACGACATTAGGAACATATCCGCTATCATCTGTGAAACGGATATTCCGTAACGGTCAACCAACTCGTAATGGCGTCCGTAAAATTTACGAAGGGATGATTTCAACTTCACCACTTGGAACTCTTGGTTTAATAGCTTCCTTGTGAGCAGCAACCCTCTATCAAATAGGAAATACAAGCCCTGGATTATCGTATCAACTGGGAGATATATACTCCGTATGCAGGCGCTGCTGGAATGTTGCTACATAAAAATTGAAAGTTCACAATGTTTAATGTGTAAACACGTTAATTATGAGCTATGAAAATCAAGTAGTTTCTGAGTAGGTTTTTAAAAAAATCAAACAATATATACTTAACTGTGGGTTAGCATTCGTTAGCCGTCACTATCCTATAGATTAACGACTGTTGGTTATATTGATAATTTAGAATCTTCATAGAACGTTGATCACGAATGTTGTGTTAATTTATTCTTTTGATATGTCATTTGTATGCAAAGGTGACATCCCTTTGTACTATGTTTCCAATCCAACAAGTCTATCGAATCAATGCGTTTATTGTCTCCCTTGAACAGGGGTTCATAATTTCATCTTTACGTATTGTTGTTTGATTTAATTTCAAATCATTACACGATTCATAAATTTAAAAGATTTTAATATCAATAATTTGCTTATTAAAGACATTTATGATAATTTAAGTTTATTTACAGATTCATTTATTTGTGTTGAAACGTTTAAAATTATTATATACCCATCTAAAGAACCTTTCATAATTTTAAAAATATTTAATTTATTTCGTTACACTGTACTCCATTCACAGTTACGTCTCAGTCATTACAGCTGAACTGACGTGCTTGGTCAGCTGCTCTTTACCCGCTATCTACAATGTTAGTTTACTGATAGATGGCTCAACGACGTACTACTTTCGATGACAGAAACCTATACAACGCTGTACAGTATACATTTTGCTTGGTGTAAATACCCGCGTCAGAATACACTCCAAATAGAAATAAGAAGATATGGTATGAGTGCCAATGAGACAGCTTTCCATCCAAGTCACAATGTGTAAAAAGTAAACAATTATAATAGATCAAAGTACGGCCTTCAACACGGAGCCTTGGCTCAAACCAAACAGCAAGCCGTGAAAAAAACCATTACGGATGGGGAATTGTTATGCCGAATGACGTCCGAGGGCCTGTATACGTGGTAATATAATATGGACCGCCATTTCACTGTCTCACGATTTTGGTCCCGATAATGCTTGCTGTCATCGTTAATACTGCGTCCGAGACTCATCGACCAGTAATTCATCATCGTGGTTAGCGGGCTGCACAGCTGACGTACCTGGCCCCGAAAGAACCGTTGTGAAGAAAAACTTCAAAACCAAACAACAATAGTCAACAAACCAAATTCCATCTACGCAAAACCAAAATGACCGCCTTTATCCAGCTTGACAACAACAAATTATTTAAAGCTCACCAAACGCCTTCGGACACCGAGCCGACCGTGCGAGGGCTTACCAGCCAGTCACGGTCGTTAAAAACCACATAGTTAGTTTAGCATGTGTATCTATTGTAATCAAAATTCATATTATCAAATAAAATAAGTAATTTTGGGTAACTAAGTCCTTTAAATTGAAAAAAAGTAACATTCATTTTTAGTGGAAAATTGTTTTAACGTTAATTAAGCTGAAATTAAAAATTGTTTGCTAGCCCCTCTTTGTGATTAATGTAAGATAACTCTGGCCAATTTTCCCAACATTTTATCGTTATGGGGAGATAATATAATTCGGTTTTCATATATAGTCTTTTTCATAAAAGTTCAAATGCTTTATATAGGTTACAATCATAATGTCTCACTGAAGCATTTGACATAAGTTTGAAGTTTCTGGAATAAAGTGGTGGTCATGGTGTTCTGTTTTTGTGTTTGTGTGTATGTGCATCGTGTGTTTGTTTGTTTGTTTTAGGGGTGTCACAGCATACATGTATTTGTCTTTAGGGAATTAAGTAATGCAACTATATTAAGGCAATTTGTCTGCTTCATTTGAATTCTGACATAATTATATACACCATATTAAAACAATAATTAAAGCCTGAACATTTTGACATTGCTTATTATTTATATCCGTGTCGGTTTTTTATTTTTATCACAATTTCCTGTTAAGATTCGACTAAATACCCATATCCCGATATCGTCAGGTAAATACGCTAGTTAGTTAGTCAGTTGTACTGTAAGTTACCTAGTTTGATAGGGCAAATTACTGTGATAGGACAGATTGTGCGTTTGTTTGAAATATAAAAAAAAACAGGTTGTGCGTTTGCCGCAAACTAATCATATATGTTTTCTTTGCAAGTCGTACTAGGGCAATACAATAAAAATATGGTTTTCAGACTACTTTTATTATGAGGTAATTTTTTTAGATGAATAACACATATTTCATTTGACATCTGTAGTCATTCTGCTGTCAAAAATGCACTGTTTAAGTTGTTGTCCGCATCATCTAACCTTCAACAGCACTGATCCTGCTACTTGCAAAAGCATACATTTAGTGTTCAATATGGTGTATATATTTACGTCAGAATTCAAAAGAAGACATATTGCATTACTTGATTCCCTAAACATAAATACATGTATACCTCCCCAAACACAAACACACACAAGATACACATACGCACAAACACATAAACAGAACACCATAACGACCACTTTATTCCAGAAACTACATTTATGTCAAATGCTTTAGTGAGATATTATGATTGAAACCTACATAAAGCATTTGAAGTTTTTTGAAATGTGAAAACCAAATAATTTTATCTCCCCATAATGATAAAATTAACCAGAGTTATCTCACATTAATTATAAAGAAGGGTTAGCAAACAATTTTTGATTGGAGCTTAATTAACTTTAACACAGTTTTCCTCTAAAAATGAATGTTACTTTATTCAATTACAAATACTAATTCATAACGGGAGGAATTGTGCTTGATTTTTATATGATGAAGACATAATCTTTCAATCAGTTTAACTGATGTCTGAAGCTGGCATGTCAGTAACTGCTAGTAGTCCTTTGTTAATTTATGTATCATTGTCATTTTTCTGAGTTTCTTCTGTTACCTATTCTGACATAGGACTCGGACTTATTTTAAACTAAGTTTTACTGTGCGTATTGCTGTGTGTTTGATTATACTACATTGGCTAGGTACAGGGGGAGGGTTGAGATCTCACTAAACATTTTTAACCCCGCCGCATTTTTTCGAGTGTCCCAAGTCAGGAGCCTTTTGCCTTTGTTTTCTTGTATGTTTTTTTAATTTTAGTTCATGTTTATGTTTCAGAGTTTAGTGTGACGTCCAGTTTAACTGAACTACTACACATCTGTGTTTAGGGGTCAGCTGAAGCCCGCCTCCGGCTGCGGGATTTCCTTGTTGTGTTGAAGACCAATTTGTGGCTTTAGGCTGCTTTCTGCTCTTTGATCGGGTTGTTGTCTCTTTGACACATTCCCTATTTCCATTCTCCATTTTTTTAGTTAGCCAAATCTACTAATGTTATTCAATATTATGAACGTTTATGACTATAGATATACATGCTACGTATATGTTTTTCATGGCTTATTCGAGAATACGTCAATAATCTTTGTTTACATATTTTCAACGATCACATGATAGAGATAACAGGTAAAAGAAATGAAAT